TATATCATAAGAAATATTTTCCCCGCCAATTCAAGTGAACACTTACATATTTCATGTAATTATATTGTAGTAACATAAGTAAAAAAACAAGTTTAACAGTATAATATTATAATTCGCAGAAGTTCGTTCATGATAAAATAAACACATTCGCCTTGATTGTGTCTTCTTTGTAAGCAACTTGCTGTCATTCTAACAACTTTTTAGATTAATGATGTAGGTACAAAACTTGCAAAAAGCGACACGCGAATGCGTTTACAGGTGGCGCAGACTTTTAAGGATGGAATACTTGCCAAAAAAATAATGCAGCATTTTTCATGGGCCACATATTCGGAGAAAATATTATGATGATCAATTATGAATTGTTAGTATTAACTTCTAAGTGGGAGTACTGACGTTAGAAATTTTCAAAGAAAAGCAAATTAAGGCAATTGATATTATTTCTAATTTGGTCTAAAGATTAGTGGTTATATCTATGAAATTTCAATCATAAGTTCAAGTCGCGGTTTGCCTAATGTCAAGAAAAAAAAAATAGAAAGCAATGAGTTTGCAAGCAAAAACTACCCTCGTCAGGCATTTCTGCATCAATATAAATTCATCAGTATTACAGAAATTGTAATATTAATTTCATCTCATAGACATGGGACGACCGTACGTGTTGCCATTTGAAAGAAACTTAAGTTGTTTGAATTGTTTGGAAAGCACAAAAATAATTCATTCTTTCATAAACTTTTCGCTGGTTCTACAGATCGGAGGACATTTTTATATTAATTTTTGTTAATTTTTTATTATACTCTGTTTTTTTATTAACATGACCGTTAATAAAGTTGTACTTTGTGGTACGTGGTTATAAAATTTATTAAAACTCTCCTTCGATATTTCAGGTTGTTTGGTTATAATATAACCCTTGTAGCTGTGGACTGTATTAAACACTGATTTGTTTGTATGTTATGTATTTGTTGCAGTTCTAAACACAATCACTGATTTGTTACTAAGTTATAATGAAAGAAGATATATTTATTGGTTATTTACATGTTGTTAAGCGGACTTTACTTTTTGAAGTAAACCACTAGTTCAATTAAAACACTCCGCTACCCCCTCTACACCCTCTACCCCCGCTACCCCCTCTACCAAGGGTAGCAACCATTCCGTGTAAAGCTTAATGCCATGAAGTTTGTCACCTTCATGGCCAATATAATAAAATGAAAAGACGTCCGAACAAAAGTATTCATATCATTAAATGTAATTTTTGTATTCCAAGTAGTTCATGTGGGTTTTACACACCAAGGAAGAATCAAATTTAGAAATTTAGAAGAGCCATTTCATCTTAATCTTAGCTTCTCTCATAAATAATTAATAATAAGGAAACATTAAGTAAAAATGTAAATCATAACTTAATAAGGAAAAGCATAAAAAACATTCATTCTTTTACCAAATTTGGTCAGATTGGACCTCATTTTTATATTATTTTTTGATCATTTTTTTCTAAGTGCATACTCTATTTTTTATCTAACATGGCCGTTAATTAATAGTTATAAATTTTTTTTTTCAAATGTTCCACTGAAGAAGTGCCATATTAGGACTTGAAAGATTTTTTTTTTCTTATAAAATTATAGTTTACTTTACTTTTATGTCATAATCTTAACAGCACACACAAAGCCAAAATAATCTAAAACACGTTAAGTAAAAATGTAAATCATCTTTTATTAAGGAGAAGCACGTTCTTTTCCATAATTAATCGTAAAAGGAAAAGTATGCAATATTTGACCATCGCAAATATTTGAACATCGAACAGCCCCACACGCGCCATTGTGTTTGCTCTAATTATTACAACTCGGGTTTATTGGATGCCTCATCCTTTTTTCACCACTGACTTGGTTATTGTTGAAAACCTTCCGCACGCATGTTCCCGCTCTTCACGCGCAGGATGTGACGTCATAAGGTGGTTATCTCCAGAAATGTGCCATCCGCGTCCGCCGCGGGGAGGGAGGAAGCGAACCCGTTTCTCTCTTAGAGCCAATACAACCGAGAGACATAACATAATGGATATGTCGAAACTTCAATTTGCTAACAACTTGTTATTGAATCGACCAAAAAATAATGGAAAATCAAACACTAGTTGTCGATAGTGGAAATTGGACTTCATTGCATTGCAGTTAGGCGGATGGCATTTGTAACATTTTTAATATAATTTTTACATTCTTTTTGAACATCCCAAAGAAAATAATATTTTCAGAAAATCCAAATGGCTAATTTCACGTTTTCTCTACGTTTCAAGTCATTCTTAATCTGGTAATGATCGGCCGCATCAGTTTTTCATAATTGTTGGAGAAAATCGTTGGAGAATTCTGATAAAACTTCACATAGTGGCAAAGTTAATGGTCATGCCAGGATTGGCTAAACTCCATAAAAGCAACACAATGTTATAGGGAGAACTTTATTTTCAAAATAAACTATTAAAATTTTCAGAAAGATAGTAAAACCTCAATTCTTGTATTAGTCATTTCTCATACTAGTTATAACTTCAACTGCAATCACATTGCTGTCAATCAATCAAATGAATACAAAGGTCGAAATAAGCTCTTCCCGATGTAATTCGTAAAAACTTGGGCTAGCACAAACAGTATGCTAGCAACTCGCCTCTTAACGTGATAGATCACAAAAATAATCGCGAGTGGAAATCAGCTTTTATGAGCTTTATACAGTCTACATATAAAAAACTGGAGCGATTGACCAATGAGTAGCAATTGCGACAAAATACTAAGCTAGTATGTACGATAGCAAACACAGTTCCTAGAACACATAGTTCTGAAGTTCTGATCACTGTTCAAGAAAAATAAGTACAAACATTTATGCAATCCATATCTAATTAAAGATTCCAGGGAATTATTGCGATATTCACAATCAACTGAAAATATTCGCCGTATTTGTAAATAGCGCCTAGTTATTTTATCTTAATATGGCGTATATGTAAATATTTGGTATCGCATAATAATTCATAAAATCCATGCCATTGAATAAACCCACGCGTACCGACATGGTTATTTCAAACAGGTTAATGTGAAGATTTATGCAAATGTATATTGGATAATATAAAATCAATATTCCGAAATTATGTGCTAATCTAAACACTGTTTTAAACTAATATTTTATAAATAATATGAATAATATGATAATTTTAGGTTCACGAACTATTTTCTTTCCAATTTCGTGGCAAAAGTAGTAAGAACGTGGCCTATCACAAACTAGTCTGAAGTTCGAACTTAATGTCGGCCAAGTTCGATATCTAGCAGTATGATATCAAATTTCCACTTGAGCTTATAGATCTCACATATAATCTCAAGTGAAAATGGCCTTTTGTGGACATTGCTGCATCACATACCAGTTAGGCCTATTAGATACACATATCTAATATAGAGAATACAAAAAGAAGAATGGTTAACCACTAGGTTTCCACCTCAAAGAAAGTAGGAAGAATAGATTAGGAAAGTAAGCTGGAACCACAACCTAAAGCACAGATGAATAAATCGTTTGTGATATGTAAGGAAATTTTGTTTTGATTGAATCGCGGTATTTTTTTCATCTACAAAAAAAATCTTATGATTTCTGAAAAAACGTATCGAAGATAATTGTGCACATTTTGGATGATTTGAAAATTTTATATAT